ATTTATTAAACGTTGTCACGTCAAAAACACATTTCGCCATTTTGAAAATAATACAATCTACTAAAGATTAATATCTAATTCGCAACCATCCGCATTAATTAAATACAATGATGTGTTTTACCTGGATTGAAGAGCATCTCCCGCCCTCCCTCAATTGCGTGCACTAATCCCGCCACCACTAGTCCCAGCACCACCACTCCCGGCACCACTACTTCCAATACCACTGTTCCAGGAAAGACACACCATCGACGATAATACGACACGTGTTTCGCCTCTACACGAGGCATCTTCTGGAAATGTAGACTCTTAGGGCGAGAGGTGCTCTTCAATCCAGGTAAGACACATCATTGTATTTAATTAATGCGGATGGTTGCGAATTAGATATTAATCTTTATTATAATGAATTTCCGCAAAGTAATGCCTGACAAGTCTTTACATGTCAAGTCCATACAAAGATGGTCATAGTTGACTATTTATAATACAATACATTCCTGACTGTACAACCCTAAGATATATATGACCGTAACGAACCTTCCCGTAAACCACCACTGTCCTAAACTATCCTGAGGGTCGCCCGCGTAGACCAAGAGTACCACGAATGAAACTATTTGAAGCTATATGATTGTTTGATACTTTTGTTTTAATACTTTGAATGAGGCCTACAATAACTACCGAATAAAAAATAAGCGAAAGTAGTAAGTAAGAAAGATCCTCTATGCCCATCCAGCAAATAAAAAAGTAAAGCTATAGTAGTAATGTTTATAAGTCGTTTTCCTTATAAAATGCAGGAAGTCGATGGATGCAGGTGGCTCAGGATCGTGCTTTGTGGCATTCCTTGGGGGAGGCCTGTGTTCAGCAGTGGACTTGTTAAGGGCTGTAATGATGATGAATGATGTGTAGTGGCGATGTAAGAACATCCCCCCATAACCCCCGCGGGTGTCGTAAGAGGCGTCAGTGACAAAGACGAACCAAGAGATGGGCAGCATGAGGAATTTTATTAGACAATCTAAGAAGAGACAAAAAAAGTTCAGCAGGGGACTTTGCTATTAAGAACGAAGTTTATCTTCATAAAGTTGTCTTGATGATGAATTAACTTTTGTTCGTAAGGATAATAATACCATGGCTAATACTGTAGCAGTTGTTCATGGGCGGCGATAGTCAGTTATCATCAGGTGAACCGCATGCTCGTTTGCCCCCTATTCTATCTAAATATATAATATAATTTAAAAAAAAATGCTCATAAATCACTTTAATTCTCAATATTTTTTTATTGTCACAAAATACCTTATTGTGACTTATGTATAACAATTAGAAAATTGGTATCGCGGATTTTTTTTAGATGGAGTAGAGATCTATATTTTTTGTAGAACATTGTATTCACGTATCACTATCATTACGCCAGCGTACGCGGATAAAGCATTTCTTGCTCGACTTGCTAAAGATCAATATTTAAGACTAACCGAGAGGCTTAGCTTATTGTACATCTCATACATCATCATCAAAAAATTACCGACAGGTAGTACCAGAGATTAGCTGCAAAGCTGTAGCGTGGTTCTACCACATGAAAAATCATGAACTTTGATATTTTGGGCATTCAAGGACATTATTAATAACAAGTGTGTACGTGCGTTATGGGGGCTCTAAGGTTGGTTGAAAAGGATCGTGTAAATATTATGTACACCGCTAGTGCGTCGTGTCGCCCTTTCCTTTTCCGAACTTGGCTGATACACTGCCAGACACACGGCAGATATCAATGGTGCCGGCGAGATTCGAACCCGGGTTGCTCGTGTACGAAGTATACGGCGAGCGCTGCACGATGAACAATTATTATTATAGTTTAATTTACGCTCTGTAAAATCGGCGGATAACACCTAGTATTATCTATATAACAAAATACACCCCATGAAACTTGTTTTTAACCATTTCCCGAGCCAAGTGTTTACCGACAGAACTTCCGCGTTGGTAACCCAATTTTTTTTTAGTTATTATTAGGAAGTCCGTGCTTATTTCTTAGTTTGTTTCCCACAGGACCATATGGGGCGGTGGATATTCGTACACCGACACTACACGGTACCACAACTCCTAACAAATTTAATAAAATGCAGCCTCTTTCAGATACGCGGTTGTTATTTTATTGCTTTTAACTTTTTGACTTTCCTTGTTAACCCGTTAGTCATTTTACTGAAAGTTGGGATTTCGCCTGTGAGTTAATTTGACCCACTTTGTATCCGACCTGCTTTTGTTACATGTGCACAGTTACGTAGTTCCCATTCCAATACTTTTTTAAATTTGATTTTTATTAAGCAAATACAGTTCGACCAGCCTTAATATGTCCCCGCCACAATCAGACAATGGTGTAGCGTGAAGAACAAAGCATCATTACTAATTTAACCTAGGGAAGCCTCTCCGCAACAATGATGTCTTCTTTGCCAACACTAGTAGAATAGCCCAACGGGCATAGTAACGACAGTGAGACTCGTAGAATCACCGACTGATCCCTCTTAGTCGCCTGCGAGATACTTTATACCACCAGAACGAGTGGGAGATTATAGTTCGTTTTGTTTGTTTTCCTTTTTATTTTTTTACCCTCATTCTCAATACGGCCTCTCCTGGCAGTAGACCGCCCTCGGGCTCCCTTTGGCTTTTGAATATCCGTCTCCATCAACGGCATGGGGCAGCACCCTCGTGTGGAGGTGAAAGTAACGTTACTGGCTTAACGATACTAGTCGATAGCACTTCTTTTCCGGCTTGGAATCCGCCTGGGCAGGTTCTACTTTCTTGTCTATTTCTGCCACCAAAAAGCACTGTTTTCTAACCTGATATAGGAAGCCAGTATAATTACACGCTGTGAGGTATTCGATCTTAGTTATCAGGGGTGACAATACTGTATCTATAGCCTTATTTTTTGACCTTTATGAGGTTGAGGGGAGCCGTGGTAGCTCAGATGGTTAGCGCTTGCTGTAAATTTCACAGTACCCGAGCAAACCGGGTGTGATCCCCACCGGCACCAATGAAATTGTTGATTGCAATTTTAAGTACTGATTTACCACGTGCTCGGCGCTTAATGAAAACATCGTGAAGAAATTTGCATGTCTGAGAAATAAGAAAAAAATATTTCGAAGACATATGAAGTTGCTAACACGCATTGGAGCAGCGAATGCTCCATAAGGAGGGTAATGTTTTTGAGAATATATATATATTTATATATGTATGACTATATCTTTGGCACGCTATATCCTAAACGTCTTGATGAATTTTAACATATGGAGAATAATAGAATAGAATCATTTTTTTTTCTATATTGATACCATGTAATTCTTATTGAAAGTCATTTTTAATATTTCCACTGGTTCGGAAATAAACTTGTGTCCTGGGAAGAACCAATAAGAAACCCCACGGGAATCTATTTTTTAAAAGCGTAAGTTATAATATAATATTTATATAATTGTTATGGAGACATTGAGAAACAGCATGGTGGCGATCACCTCATTCCCAGGAGTTGTTATCAATCTGTACTCTTTATTAGTATCATAACCCTTACTAAAGAATATTTGCTTATTAAACATTTTAAACCTTTTGATAGATAAGGTCTGTTACATTTTCTGGGTCTTTGTTGTAGAAGCGTCTACATTGCGCCATAAAAGAATTACTGACTCTTTGGTATCGAGTAACTCGTATAACTAACTTGTGCTTGCTCCTAGTATTTACAGAATGTACATCATTATTTTTAATAAAACTATTTTTGTTTTTGTGTGCATACATTAAATTTTCTTAAATATATCGAGAGGCCATAGTTAATATATTTATTTCTTTAAATTTTTCTCTAAGGGATTCCTTCGTACCTAGGTTATAAATTGCTCTTATGGCTCTCTTTTGCAAAACAAACATAGTTTCAATGACAATGGAATCGTTAGATTCATCCGAATTGTGGATGTGACATAAATGTATAAAAGTTTTGTTTTTTCAGTAAACATTTTTACGTAGTCAGTTACCAAATTACTGTAAACATGTTAACCATTATTAAGCTGGTTATCAAAAATTTAATTTTTGTCAGAAACCTTCGCGCGTGTACAAATTTCTAAATCAAAGTTTAATCGTAATGGGTTTAAAGGTATTGGTATAAGAACGTATATAGGGACAAATAAACATTCACTTTTGTATTATCTATAGATTCGACATGAGCAAACAATGTGTTGCTCGTAGTAGCGTAGTCGACGAGACTCTTGAAAAATCTTATTCAAGCTTATCCGATCACGGCGGCCTTGTTACTTGATCAGACCATAGGAAAATCATAGTTCTCTCATTAGCTGTGTATAATATATTAACGTATAACGGTTGGTTTTTACTTTAATATATTTGTTTAAGGTACTGTCCGACCGAAGGTAGATTTCTGTCCCAAACCGATTAATCGGCAGTCGTCATAACTTTCGACCAAAACCAAAGCGAAATTCAGTTCAATATTGGCTATATTATAAATCATTTTCAAACTTTTAAATTAAAGGTTTATATTGACTGTATTGATATTATCAAAAGGCAATTTTAAGCAATTCTAAAAGTTGGTCTAGAGATGATAAAAATTGCGTCACCACGTCCATCGCACTCTCGCTGAATGAGCGTGAGAACGTCATTCGTAAAGTGCGTTCAATTTCGGCGTTTGCTAGTAAACTCAGCTTTGGCCAAAACTTCGGCCCATTTTTTGGCCGCAGCCGAAGGTGACCAGGCCGTAGCCGAAACTTCGGTTAGACACCAGTTTAAGGATATTTTTTTTTAATAATAGAACGGTGACAAACGAGCACACAGTCCACCTGATGGTAAGTGGTTGCTGCGGCCCATAGACATCTACATCTATCCTCGATTACGAATCAAAATGCAGATGCGCTGTCGCCCGTGAGGACTAAGATTGAACGCCTCTTTGTCATCCTATTCTATAAAAAATAATAAATGCGACAAAATCCGTAAAAATAGTTTTATCAATGTGTAGTGTTTGCGTAAATATAAAGATGGTAAGTGGATGCTGTGGTCCATAGACGTCTCTATGGACCACAGCATCCACTTACCATCAGGTGGACTGTGTGTTCGTTTGTCACCCTTACTCTATAAAAAAAGAACTATTGTCAGATGCTGCGAAATACTTGGTTTATTAACTTCCCAGTGGAAAGTTATTGTAATGGGTCCGATTTTGCAAATTGGAAATTTTAACATATCTCTACATTTCAAGGTCTTTAGAGTCGAATAGTATGGTTTTTAAGAGGATGTCCGTGTGTGCACATGTACGTATGTATGTATGTATGTTCGGATTCAATTTTCGCCTCGTGAATCTCGAAAACAAAGAGTGATATTGACATGGGACCAGTTTCATTTAACGCATAATTCAGTTAAGTCGTTTCTGTGTCGAATGAAAGATTGTATAAAACATTTAAACATGTGATATTTTTTATTCTTTCCACTGGGAAATTAGTCGTGAGGACCTTTCGGGTCGCACCTAGACCGCTTTTATGGTTATGGAACACCAATAATTCTAGTTTTACTCAACAAGGTTTTTTTTTTAACTATGTGTCATTAAGATTAGGGTATGGTTGGGCTGACAGGGATAGAAGCTCCTAAATAAGTAAAGTGATAAAAACACCGTTACTACATGATTTATGGTATGGTATGGTATGGTATCGTATGATATGGTATATAGTGATCTAATGTTGTCGTTTGTTCCAGCAAATCCAGCAACAATACAGAGGTCGAGTGGGATCTGCGGGACGTTGCTGGGGCAGTATGTCCGAAGGCGGGGGGGTCTCCGCAGCTGGAGACACGTGCAAGACCAACCTGATCGTTAACTACCTCCCTCAGACGATGACTGAGAAAGACCTGTACGCAATGTTCATGACCATAGGACCGATCGAGAGTTGCCGGGTCATGAAAGATTTCAAGGTAGCTCTGTCTTTTTTTTAAATAAAAATACGAGCTGTAACACCCTATTTCATATTATATATATATATATAATCTGATGGTAAGTGGATGCTGTTGCTCACATCTACATTTATCCCAATCAAAATGCAAATGCATTAGCACTAGTGAGGACAAAGATGAGCTGCATCGTTCCAAAAAAAGGTCTTATTGTTCATAGTTTTGTCTGAAGGATGCGAAGGCTTTCATGTTTTTTAATCATAAAAAATGTTTATACGCAGCTGTGGTTGCAGCATGAATGTGTAAACATGTCCGGTACCACGCTTTCACAAAACACCAGCGTAAAATGTTGATGAATCAATGGTCAAAGTAAAAAAATTACTCTCAATATTTTTTTTAATAATCTATATTAAATACAATTTATTCTATTCTATTCTATTCTCTTTCCTTTGGTTAATGATGAGAACCGGAGTCCCTTTTTTATTGACAACGAGGTTCTCCATCTTAACCCCCAAGGGAACGCATATAATCGAGGATAGATTTTGTTGTCACAGCATACACTTACCATCAGCTGAAATCTAAGGGTGAAGTGTGATATGTGCTTGTTTGTCATTATATTTTACATAAAAAAGCAAAGTTTAAGAATACATATATAGTGGAGGCCGAGAAGTTTTCAGTTTATTAAGAAGTCGACTGCTGAAAATAGCCCCTCCCCAAAATTCCTCCTAGGTGGGATCTTTTCCACAGTTGCCAGGTTTGCAATTGCAGTTTTGTATTTTTAGTTGTTGTCAGGCAGACGCTGCCGCCCATCTGCTGATTCGTTTCCCTCTGTCGCCTCTTACGACACCCACGGGATGATATGGGGCAGTAGGTATTCTTACAAATCTAACCCTACAGTTAAAGTTACAGCCTGTATACGTCCCACAGCTGGGCACAGGCCTCCTCTCATTTCTGAGAGGGTGTTAGGACAAGGAAATGTCCACCGCGCTGCACCAATGCGTGTTGGCGAACTGCACATGTCTCCAAAATATTTTTTTTAATTATTTTTTAGACATGCAGGTTTCAAATGACCCCCCCCTCCGATGTTTTCTTTTACCACCGAGTACGTGGTAACACTTAAAATTGCAATTAACAATTTCATTGGTGCCGGCGGGGATCGAACCCGAGTTGCCCGCGTACTGTGAAATATTCTACGAGCGGTTAGCCACTCAGCTACCACGGCTCTTCAAACCTACAGTAATACAAGAATTTATAAAACGTATATCTTCAGGTCAAGGTAAAAAGAAATGAATTTGGAACCTATCCATATCGCCATAGCGATCGAAGACAACCGGTTCCAAAGTTTTTAAATGGCTTTGACGTAAAGATAGAACTTGCTCGTTGTTTTTCTAAAACAGAAATCTGTTTCCATTTACTAAAATTGTTTATTTTATGTTTTAATGGATGAGTAACCTAATGGGATAGGAGATACTTAGGCTTGTTTTTTTGTACAAGTACACCCTTTCTTTTTTAAGTATAAAGGTGACTAGTGAGCACGCAGTCCACCTGATGGTAAGTGGATGCTGTTGCTCATAGACACATACATACACATACATTCATCTTCAGTGTAAGTATCAGAACGCAGATACTTTGTCACCTCTGAGGACTACGAGGTTGCCTCGTTTCCAGTATAAGGGTTTCTAGTTCTCTACACTCATACATACGAAACAGCAGCTTTAAGCTGTAATATTACGCTGGTATTCTGTGAGAGCGTGGTCGTTCCCCGGTCGAGCCGACTTATTCGTGCTACAACCATAATATAGCTGCAGTGTGGCTCTACCACGTATAAATAATCCACGCATACATTACATGCATTACATCAGATAACATTATTGGATGCTGTTTCGTATAGACACTTACATATATGTATAAGTCTCCGGTTCTCGTCGCTCAACATACAAAATACAGCAGCAATATAATTCTATTCAAATTTCAATTCAATTTTATTGTTTGCTAAAATGTAGTAACTACGCCACATAAATAGAGCCAAATCTATTAATGTAGCGTTATTTAGATTTAATATCATCATCATTACTATTATTTAAAAAAAAACTTGAAAAAAAAACAATCTCAAAGTTTTTCGGATAACGTATAGGTCAGATCAATTCTTGCGTTGTCTATCTGATCGTAGTTTCATTACATTCGGTTCAGTCATTCTGGAGATCAGAAGACAGACAGACAAAAAATTTTAAAATGGTTATTTATATCCTAAAGAACTCCTCAGCTCAATAAAAGTTAGTTCTTGCGATATTATAGACAGACACTTAAATTTTATTTATAGGTATAAATGTTTTATATGTGGAAGAGCCATCCACCAGCTATGTTATGGTTATAGTTCAAATAGGTCGGCTCCACCGGGGAAGGACCACGCTCTCACAGATTACCAGTGTAAAATAGAACCTTAATGATGCTGTATTTCGAGTGGTGACTGTAGAGAACTGAAGATCCTTTTTACTGAAAACGATCTATTCCATCTCAGTCCTCAGGGGTGTCAACGCATCCGCATTTTGATTCTTGGTTAAGGATACATGTAGATATCTATGGGCCACAGCATCTACTTACCATCAAGTGGACTGTGTGCTCGTTTGTCACCCCTATGCTGTAAAAATGTTGCTAATGTGGTAATTTGCTACTTTCAGACTGGTTACAGCTATGGCTTTGGGTTTGTGAACTTCACGAGGGAAGAGGACGCTGCGAGGGCCATCGAGACGTTCAATGGATACCGGCTTAGAAATAAACGGTTAAAGGTAACGTAATTATTACAAACTGTCCAACATCTCGATGACCGTGTAGTGGCGGTGCAAGAACATCCAATACCCCATATCGTCCCGTGGGGGTCGTAAGAAACGACAGGGGGAAATGTTACAGGAGACGGGCAGCAGCATCTTCCTGATATCAACTTAAAATAATAAAAAACTAGTTGCCAACCCGCTGGCCAAGCAAGGCTACTATCCCAACCCAATATCTCCCCTATGACGCTATCTCTGGGGGAGGCCTATGTTCAGCAGTGGAATTCTGGTAGGCTATAATGGTGATACCTGGATTTTCCCTTAGTGATTGGTAGAGCCAATCACTGAAAACGTCGGGAATATAAAATAAGCATTGAAAAAGTTTTTTTTTTCATAAAGATTAAGGTAAACGAGGAAACAGTCCACCTGATGGTAATTAGATGCTGTTGGCCGTAGACTCCTACATCTATTCACAATTAAGAATCAAAATGCAGATGCTTTGTCATCATGAGGACTACGATGAAATTTCTCGTTTCCAGTAAAGGGGATTTCGGTTCTCTACATACGAAGCTCTTATGCAATAGCCCTTTGATTAGAACATATTTGTAATTATGATAATTAAGGTGATGAATATTTACGTTTTTATTAATGGCGTTGTATATAGGCGCTCACTGTTACATATTGCCTCCTAGCCGAAACAGTATAGATTTTAAGTTTGTTATAACGAGATTGACACAAACAAAAAATCTAAAATAAATAACTTATGTTTATATAGCAATTTTACATAACATACATAATCATAAACACTCACGCCTGTCACCCAGAGGGGTAGGCAGAGACTATGGACTTAAATTTGGCACGATCCTGACATACCTCTTTCGCCTCCTTTACATCCATATATCTGCGCATACATGCTCGTTGGTTAAGGGTACTTTTAACGTGGCCCCTTTTCAAAATATCGCCAATTTGGTCGATAAACTTTTTTCTAGGGCGTCCCTTCCCGACTCGGCCGTTCACATCTGCCATATAAATTTGCTTTGTCACTCTTTCCTCATACATTCTTTCTACATGACCAAACCACCGAAGCATTCCTTTCTTAATCCTGGTCACAACATCATCTTGCATACCCCATTTATCTCTTATCACGCAATTTCTCACCCTGTCATTCAGATTCAACCCTAGCATACTCCTTAAAGACCGCATTTCTACAGCATTTATTCTACTTTCGTGCTTCTTCTGCCACACCCAGCTTTCACTACCATACATTAAAGTAGGGACTAACACAGCATTGTGAATTGCCATACGTGCCTTTTTCGACACATTTTGACTCTTCACAATAGAGTGCAAGGCCTCATTCACTCTATTCCCTGCATTTACTCGTCGTTCTATATCCCTATCATATCTACCATCCCTGCTAAATACACATCCCAAATACACAAACTCATCCACTTGCTCAATTAACTTCCCCTTCTATTCTTATTTCACATACCGTTTTGCTTTTTTCTCTTTCAAAAACCATCACTTTCGTCTTACTTGCGTTCACTTTCATTCCCCTTTCTTTTAATTAATTAAATTTAAAAGAAAGCAATTTTATTTTTGCAATTTATAGGATTTTTCTGTGGTTTACAGGATTATGCAAAGAAACTGCGTTGTTTACCCCAAAACGAAACCTATTATATTTATTCGCATTCCAGGTATCTTACGCCCGGCCGTCCGGTGACGACATCAAGGACACGAACCTGTACGTGAGCAATCTACCCAGGGCAATAACCGAGGAACAGTTGGAGACAATCTTCGGCAAGTACGGTCGCATCGTGCAAAAGCATATACTGCGCGACAAGAATAACGGCACGCCTAGAGGTGTCGCTTTTGTTAGGTGAGCATGTACTGACGTTTGGATGAATTAATGAATTAATGATTGTGTGACGGCGCTTTCGTCGCGCTATAAGCGAAACGCACCGTAGCCTCAATCGCGTTATAGTATCAGGTATAGAGTATTTTATTTATGTTATATAAAATTGTATTTACCAGGGTTGGCACTTGGCATGAATAAGTCATGTTGTAGTCGCTGTTAATATGTATTATCGTCGATGGTGTGTCTTACCTGGAATAGTGGTGTTGGAAGTAGTGGTGCTGGGACTAGTGGTGACGGAGTTAGTGCATGCAATTGAGGCAGGGCGGGAGGTGCTCTTCAATCCAGGTAAGACATATCATTGTATTTATTTAGCGGAAGGTTGCAAAGAAATTTATATTTTTATTTTTTATTATAATAGATTTCCGCAAAGTAACGCCTGATTCTATCAAAATCATAGTGATTTCGTGCTTTCTCCAACGCACTTTCTTCTGTTTGGGTTGGGTCTAATAAAAATCCCAAAAAATGACTGGGGACAAATGTTTTTTGCAAAAATATAGTTAAATAATAAAATCAAAAATATCGTGATTAATTAGGATTTTTTCCAATCCTGGTATTTGTTTTTTCCAATCCTGGTATTTACATGTATGGTATGTATGTTTTTATACTTATATTCACATATAAATATTCATATGTTTTAATGACACCTGTTTAAGATTTTCTGTTAGCTTGTGAATGACTGGTAGAGAAGGCCTAAAGGCATTAAGTATGTGAATTGTACACTTTATGTGCAATAAAATTTAATAAATAAAGTGTATATAGAATAGTTCCAATTTATCACATTTAGCATAGGCTGCTTCACCCATGTTCAGAAGTGGACTTTAACAGGCTGTAACGGGAAAAGCCAACTCCAAGATCTAAGAATTGAATTGTATTTGATTCTTTTACGTGCCAATCACGCGGTCTGACATGTGTTTTCACTATGTCATTTAAATCTTACAGATTCGACAAACGAGAAGAGGCGCAAGAAGCAATAGCGGCTTTGAATAATGTCATACCTGAGGGCGGCACGGAGCCGTTAAGTGTAAAGGTATTTGCCTTTTTTTACTGATATTCAGTGAATGATGTGCCCCATAGACGTCTACATTTATCTTCAATTAAGAATCAAAATGCAGATGCGTTGTCAGTCCTGTTCTAAGATGGAATGCCTCGTTTCCAGTAAAAAGGGTCACCGGTTCTCTATACTCGCCATTCGAAACACAGTAGTTACATAGCGTGCACGGCGGTGTGTGAGATTAGGAATATTTTAAGTTTATATGGAAAAGTGCAGAAAGCTAAAATTCACAATATATTAAAAATATTTTTTTAATGTAAATGTAGGTATTAATTAAAATAAATTAAATAAAACTTCCATTTTACTATGGAGTGTAGAAGTAAGGAGTACAGACTGTATTACAAAGTGTCCATAGAAAACCGTTAAACAAGGGTGGCGCCACTATAGCTACGGGCTAAATTTTAAAGAACGTGCCGAAAAATATTAGTGGGATAAACGACTTTTTAGGGGTTATGTTTACTAAATAAAATTATTTTTGATTTTAGAGCTACGGAGCAGTTTAGCAGCACACTTAAACCGTCGACAACTGCTAAGTTCATTTCATGCCAGTAGCTACTCCAGCGCTGTTGTGGAGAGTTTTTGAACTGTTATTTACTGCTTACAGATGGCCACTTTTTCAACTGTTCTACTATGGGAGTCGTACTCCTTACTTCAACACTCGATAATTTTTACGTTACTGTTAATATATTTCTTATTGTGCCAATGTCAAAGATAAAATAGTCTGTGGTTAAAACTTAGAGTAATATATACATACATAATAACAGTGGCTGCCTCGTTGGTCTAGTGGTTGTAGTAGTGCGACTGCTGATCATGAGGTCCTGGGTTCGAATCCCGGGTCGGGCCAAATATCAATTATTGAGTTTTTCTGTTAAGAAATTCTCAGTAGCTGCCCAGAGTCAGGAAGTTGGCGGTGTCTCACCCCGTGCCTCGGAAAGCACGTAAAGCCGTTGGTCCTGCGCCTAATCTCTCTCCCAGTCGTGTCAGTTTACAGTCCCATCGGATTATGAGAGTGAGGGAATAGAGAGCATAGATAAGATACGGAAATATATAAGAATCTCTAACGTAAAAATTTGCCGCGACAACAGCGCCGCCTGGAAGCTAGTTTATTAACTATTACTTCAACTATACATAACTATACATATCTGCTCTCCTCTCTTCTCTTTCTTTTTTCTATATTTTTTGTCTTTGCTGGCCTCTTGCATATATATATATATATATATATATATATATATATATATATATATATATATATATATATATCTAAATAAAATATATACCTCTATACTACTCCTTTCATATTGTTATTTTTATTAAGTATTATTCGATTTCTAAATACCAATAAAAACACTGTTTGTTACATAGAAATTGGCATAAATACTCTCGATAAATTGTTTAATTGATAATATTTATTTTACAATTTTAAACAAGATGATATTTTGAAAATAAAATAACACCAAAACGTGACATGTTTTAAAATTCCATGTTGTCTGCACATAATGTAGAAACTAACTTACTACAAACCATTGTTTAAATTACAGGGTTTAAATTAACATATTATTTTATAAGTCTTATTATATTTGTCACTGCACCAATTACAAAATCTACCTTAAAACACACTTGAGCCCTACGTTTTGTGCTATAGAAAAGCAATTACGATAAAACACTCTCAAACTACGAAATAACAAGAAATAAGCACATGCACAATTCATACATAACAAAACATAAACACTCACGCCTGTCACCCAGAGGGGTAGGCAGAGACTACAGACTTCCATTTGGCACGATCCTGCCACACCTCTCTTGCCTCCTTCACATCCATACACCTACGCATACATGCTCGTCGGTTAAGGGTACTCCTAATTTGGCCCGTTTTCAATAAATCGCCAATTTGGTCGATAAATTTTCGCCTAGGACGTCCCTTTCCGACTCTGCCAATCACTTCTGCACCATAAATTTTCTTTGTCACTCTTTCCTCATTCATTCTTTCCACATGACCAAACCACCGAAGCATTCCTTTCTTAATCCTGGTCACAACATCATCTTGCAAACCACACTCTTCTCTTATTACACAATTTCTTACCCTGTCATTCAGATTCAGCCCTAACATACTCCTTAACGACCGCATTTCTACTGCGTTTATTCTACTCTCGTGCTTCTTCTGCCACACCCAACTTTCACTACCATACGTTAAAGTAGGGACCAACACAGCATTGTGAATTGCCATACGTGCCTTTTTCGATACATTTTGACTCTTCACAATAGAGTGCAAGGCCCCATTTACTCTATTTCCCGCATTCACTCGTCGTTCTATATCCTTATCATATCTCCCATCCCTGCTAAATACGCAGCCCAAATATACAAACTCATCTACTTGCTCGATCAACTCCCCTTCTATTCTTATTTCACAAATCGTTTTACTTTCTTCTCTTTCAAAAATCATAACCTTCGTCTTACTTGCTTTCACTTTCATACCCCTTTCTTTTAATGATCCGTTCATTAATGTAACCATCTTTTGCAACTCGGCCGCCGACGACGCAAGAATAACTTGATCATCGGCGTACAAAAGGCATTTGACGGTTAACTCATCCATTCTTAATCCGCATTCTTCAACTTTCAAATTTTGCAAACACCTGTCCATAAATAGGTTGAACAGCCAAGGGGAAGCTACACAGCCCTGTCTGACACCTTTATGGATGTCAAACCAGTCCGAGTAGACCCCGTTGATCCTAACACAAGCACTAGAGTCCCTATAAAGAGATTCCAATGCCTGTATCAAGCCAGCGCTCAACCCAAATGAGTTCAGTGTTTGCCATAGCAAATCCCTATCCACTCTGTCATAGGCCTTTTTCCAAGTCCATGAACTCACAAAAAACCTTTTGGTTTTTGGCCAGAAACTTCTCCGCGATCATGCGCATGGAAAAGACTTGATCTGTACATCCCATTCCCTTTCTAAATCCCGCTTGCCCATCCCAAATTTTTTCATCAGTTTCTTTCATGACCCTTTCAATCAGTACCTTAGCATACAGTTTTCCCACAATGCTAAGAAGGCTGATGCCACGGTAGTTTTTACAGTCCTGCTGCGACCCTCTTCCCTTATATACTGGGACTATCACGGCTTTGCACCAGTCTACCGGTACCCGCTTCAGTTCCCAGCATAAATTAAACAAGGTGTGCAGCAGCCTGCCACCACTTCCTCTCCAACCCTTAGCATTTCGAGTGAAACTCTATCATATACTATGCTTTCATGCTTTTCATTGCTTTCATTATTTCACTATACTTATCTGTATTTTGGTTTTTTTCAAAATATTCCTTTCATCTCTAAACACAAAACTTCATCATTAAGAATATAGCCATTCTCGTCTCTTATAGCATTCATCATAGGCTGTTTTGAATGTCCCCTGGCAGTTCTTACAAGTTTCCAGAACATTTTTATATTTGACTGGAAGTTATCCGATATTATTCTATCATTCTTATCCGTTCTTTCTTGCTTTTTTCTTTCAACTACTTCTTTACTCTCTTATTAAGATGTCTAAAGACTGCCTTTTTTCTTTCAATATCATCATTCGTACCACTAGAATTAGCATGCTTTGTTGCTAGTAAATCTAGCCATGCTCTCTTCTTTGCTTCAACTTCCATATGTATCACATTATTATATTACACATATTTCAATTAAATATGTGTAATATAATATTAAAGGACATATTTCTTGAATAAAAATTATTCAAGAAATATGTCCGCCGAATTATGTACAATTCGGCGGACATATTTCTTGAATAATTTTTCACTTTTCTTTTGCCTAATTTTATACTTCCATTTTTTACTATTACTTTACTACCTTATAATATAAACCTCACGTATGAAGCAAATATAAACTAACTTGAATTTAGAACTATGAAGGGATTTTCCATTAGTTATTATTTTGGAAGACAAAATTAATTAATTTCGTAACACCGATATGACTTTTCTTCACCGCTGCATTGGAAGACGTTTTCAAGCTACTGGGCTGGAAAGGATACGGTAATAACATCAATGGCGAGTACATCACTCACCTTCGATTTGCCGACGATAGTATGATCCTTATGGCAGAATCACTGGCTCAATAACCTCAATAATGTCTCTCAACAGATAGGTCTTAAGATGAACATGGACAAAACGAAGATCATGTGTAACGTCCATGTCACATCTATGCCGGTAGTTGTTTGGGAGCACTAAGCTCGAAGTTGTTGACGAGTATGTTTACCTGGGACGAATAGTCTCACTAGGTAAGTCCAACTTCGGCCGAGAGGTCAATCGACGGATTTAAATCGGCTGGGTAGCGTTCGGGAAATTACGACATGTCTTCTCGTCAGGTATACCTCAAAACCTGACGACAATGTACAACCAGTGCGTTTTGCCAGTTTTGAACCTCGGAACTAAGACGTGGTCCTTCAGTGCTGACCGTATGAGGACGCTCAAAGTCACTCAGCGAGCCATGGAAAGAGCTATGCTCGGGGTTTCTCTGCGTGATAAACTTGGAAATTAGGATGTCCGCAGTAGAACCAGAGTGAACGACATAGAACAACGGATTAGTAGGCTGAAGTGGCAATGTGCCGGCCATATATCTCGAAGAACCGACAACTGATGGGGTAAATATGGTTCTCGAGTGGCAGCCTCGTACCTATAGGCAGAGTGTAGGGCGACCCCCCACTAGATGGAGTAACTACCTGGTAAGACATGCAGGAAGGTGATGTATGCAGGCGGCTCAGGACCGTGCTTTGTGGCATAGCTTGGGGAGGCCTATGTTCAGCAGTAGACTTGTGAAGGGCTGTAATGATGATGATGATGATGGTATTTTTTAATGTAGTTAATAAATACAATAACATATAACAATAACTTGCTTAATAGAATATGATTTACTTTTTAGTATTTCCTTTATACCTATCATTAGAATTATTATTAATAATGCTTAATTATTTGTGGTGGCCACACTATCTTCATTGATTTACATAAAGTAGCTAAAAATGCAAGATGCCAGAGCAGCTATAAATTAAAAAGTATTAAGTGTTTCATAAAGCAATTTCTAGATGGCGGTAGTTTAACTATCAATGAAATTTCTTAGAAGATACAATAGCATGATAGAGAGTGCACTTGGGCACTATAATCCTGTCCTGCGCCGATAGCTAGCCTCCGTTAAGACAGGTCGCTGTGGCCGAAATTCGGTCTGGAGGACATTACTATTATTATTAACAGTCGCACAAAATAAAGATTGTAGTCGAAGATTTTTAAATTGTTGCCAACGTATGATTACCCTTATTCTAAAAAAAACATTGGCAGAATTCGTTACTACGAGATTGCCGTAAATTAAAAAACCCTGTTTAAAAGCTGCTTTTTTGCAGGTGGCAGAAGAGCATGGGAAACAAAAGGCGGCGTACTATGCTGGCTGGGCGGCGGGCTTCCATCACAATAGAGGTTAGTTACAAATATACTTATGACATCACTATGTATATATAACTTAATCCATACCACACATTAACACAGTAAAGGCATATTGAATAATATATTTTTACATTATATATAGTTTGATTTAACGTGTAGTGTTCGCGTAAGTGTGAGAAATTATAACGAAATATCACAAGGCACTATTGTGGGGCAGTCAGGTAAATAAATAAACAATAAGGTAGACTTTTATTTTATTTGTATAATAACAGGTTACGACTAAAATCTTTGAAGCGACAGTAGCCTAATGGATAAGGGTCAGGACTGCAAGGTCGGGGTTCGAATCTGACAACCGACTATTCTCGTAAACCATTCAAACATGGACACTAGAAGACCCACCAATCCGAACACATCCGCAGTGTTCATCTAGGACCAAACAAGTGGGTTTCTCTTAGTTCACATTGAAACCCTCTCACGACAATGCGGGGAACCCTTTGGGCGGAGCTCCTAACACAAGTATTTTAAGTTTATTACGAGTATTTAGAAAAGTATATAAAAAGTACTATCATATCATATTTTCACATCTCTAACAGATCGTAGAGTATATTTAGCTTATGCTTTTCAATTTATGTTACTTAATATTAGGCTATATTTCTTTTTTTGGTATTCTCTATTGTTTTCAGCTCTAGATCCATTATTCATTTGAAACCACAAGATCCATTTTGTCAAGTTGCAAGACCGTACATTATATATAAACATATGTACTAAGTTTCAATACAATTTTCATAGAGTAACATGCTTACTCTATTTTCAAATTAAACAATACGACATTCTTTATTGTACACCAAGGAAAAAAATATAACAACAATATATAGGAACAAAAGGCGGTCTTATTGCGACATAGCAATCTCTCCCAGTCAAGCCAAAAAAGAATTAAATAAGAGAAAAATTAACGGATAATAAGTAAGGATACCAACTTATTCACTAAAGAGAAAACATACTTTAGGTAGATCAGTGACCATAAATTACAGAATGAAGAGAGAGGAGTTAAAGAGGTAAACGGTGTTCCTTAAAACCATAAATAAAAAGCTGACCAACCAAAAAATAGACAATTTTTAATATGAGATAGTTCATAATGTATAGTCCAAGCAATATATAAATAATATATAAATATGGCGGCTCATAGAGACCGTATCGTCAACATGTACAGTACCATCAACGAAAATCCGCTAATAACAATAGATCGTTATAACGTTATATTATTCAGCTAATTGGAAATTTTCTATAACTTAATGAGAAAATTTTTGAAAAAAAAAACTGTACACGCGCAAGTAGGTAGGTACATTAATTTAAAAATACATTTATAACTAGCAACCCGCTCTGGCTTTGCCTGGGTGGTTTCTAATAGTGTGGCGTTATTTAGACTTGAGATAATCATTAAAGTCCATTTAATTTATCTTTCAATAGTAATGTTAGGTGACATACCGTTGCAGGGATCAGGCCTCTAACAAAGAAAATATTGGGGCTTAGTCAACCATACTGCTCCACACAAGGTTCGTGGATATTTTGTACTTGGATATCCCCTTTACGCTTGAATGTCCCTACTATCACAAGTTTTTTTTATGTTGTTTTTAGTCTATGGGCATTTGGTGGCTATTTTTTCATCTGTGGACGTAACGTATCCCTTTGGGTAAAGCTTAACTCTATGGGATATTAACTTTTTAACAGCATAATAATAATTATGGAGTGTCGAAATAAGGAGAACAAACTCTGTATAAAAAAGTTTCCGTAGAAAAGCGCTAAATAAGAGTGGCGCCACTGTAGCTAGATTGTTAATTTTAAAGAACTTTTTATAATATTTTATTGCACAGACTTCCACCATAGTTCTTTGTATAATAATTATTTTCATATGGCCCCCGTGACCATGGGTGCTGGAAAGCACCCGAAACCTCTGGAAATAAAAAAAAACTAAAATTAAAATTAAACGCGATAAAACCCGTAAAAGTAGTTTTAATCAATAATTATTTAACTGTTTTCAAGATTTTATTTTCAAAATCACTCAACGTGTTTAACAGCGTCTATTTCTAGGTTATAATATTTACTAAATTATTTAAGACAAAGTAAGTAGTTGAGGTTTTAAATACTGCAGTTTCATCAACTACTCTAGTCACCACAAATATTAAATTTCTCAACTCAGTACACTTCACTCCGTCGACAACTGCTAAGTTCATTTCATACCCTCTAGCTACTCGAGCGCTGTTGTGGAGAGTTTTTGAACTGGTATTTACTGCTTACAGAAGGATACGTTTTCAACGATTCTCCTATGGGAGATTGTCCTCCTTACCTCTATACTCCATGAGTATAATATTTTGTCTGAATGTGCGACTAACAAAGCAACTAAAATAAAATTATACTGTAGCGACTGTCGGGCCAACTGAGCGCTTTATACTTTCCGCTCACCAGATGTCGCTACTTCGAACTGAGTTGAAGTTATTTGTTACACAGTGTTACCATAAGTGATTAGTTGCGTTTCAAATAAAAGTTTTTCGGTTTCGGGTGTATGTACCTGCGTACACAAAACAGTAGTTCAGTGTTTGTCCTTTAATTTTATGCACATTTTAACTCTCTTTTTAATTATTTTTAATATAATATAATATAATTTTTATACGTCTTAGAGTCACGCTGCAGCTATATTATGGTTGTAGCACGAATGGGTCGGCTCGACCGGGAATGGACCACGTTCTCACAGAATATCAGCGTAAAATAGCAGCTTAATGATGCTGTGTTTCGTGTGGTGAGTGTAGAGATTCGGAGACCCTTTTTATTGCAGACGAGGCATTCCATCTTAGTTCTCAGGGGAGACAACGCATTCGCATTTTGATTTGTAATCGAGGATAGATGTAGATTTCTATGGGCCACAGCAACCACGTACCATCTGGTGGACTGTGTGCTCGTTTGTCACCCTTATACTATGAAAAAAAAAATCTTTTACTTGTAAGAATGTGCAAGTTTTTAAACCATTTTTTCACTTCATTCCCCAATGGTGCCGCTGTTGTAGAAAAACAAGTTGTGGATTTGAACCATCATTGGATTCAAATCAATTTACCATAGTTAGTAAAAAAATCACACATTAATCATTCACTATTCTACTGAAATATCAGCTTATCACTTTATGCTATTATTTTATTTACTGTTTCTAAATAGAGGCTTGTGTCATATTTATATTGTCGTCTTACACCCATAAAGATATGCTTTAGCCATACATAAGTCTTATGATCACTTCTTTCCGCTTTAGCACCAGCTACCACTCAACTATTATGTTTATATTTTGCCGTTATAAAAACACTGTTATATTAAATATGTTAATAGTAAATGAGTCGTTTGATAGCGTAGCAGCAACAACACGGAGGCCTATAAAAGTCTATTGTCAAACTGCACGACTCAATTTACTTGCTGAATATTTAACTCGAGTATAGTGATTCGAGTAAGAACTCGACAAAAACAACTACTTGATCGTAGTCGATTTATATATATATATATATATATATATATATATATATATATATATATATATATATATATATATATATTACATTGCATCACTTTAAAGAATACCAATATAATGTTCATGTGTACTATCATTACCACATCTACTAACACTACATGGGGGGTTGTGTAATGAATCAGGTCAATTTTATTGTGGTCGACAGGTTGTAGGTGTTTAACCCTAACTTGGCAAACTTTATGATGTCATTATTTTTATATTTCTGTCATATTTTTGGGTTGATAGGTGCTAAAAGGACAACTAAAAAATAAATAAAAAAATCTGCCATATTTAGTTTTGTTTTTATACCATGTATCTATTAATGCACACTATCAAGTGGCCAGACATTCATCTTTGAATATACATGTGCACTATAGGATACATTACTGGGTAGGTAGTAAATAAAAATATATATTTTTATAGAAAAATTAACGTATTTACTGTTTTAAACATGTAATATCTATATAAATATATTTAAAAACACAGTCTTCGACTTACAGTAGAAACAAAACTTCAACTTCTTTATTATAATTATCACTACAGTGACAGTTATCACATACCTATAAATTAATACAAATTAAAAATTATAATAATATAACAACATTATTAAATAATGCGATATCATAATTTATGAGATCAATCAATATATTTAAAAACAAAAAGACGCATGAAAATAAAAAAAATGCTGGTGACAACTACTATTTGCTTAATCCAAAAGCAGATACTTTTCTTTCATTAGAAGTAATATGCGAAAAAGCTCCGCAGCCTCGTTTTTTCAAAATTTTATCATAAGGTAGCTTTTAGACTCCTCTATGAAAAAGATTTGGTCTCACTGTTCCCAAGGAAAATATCCCGTACTCATTTCTCAGGTGATAAACTAATTCTATAGAGGTAAAAAAAATATCAAAATAAATCACTTTACAAGCAGCCTCTTTGATTGTCTTGCAACGCTATGACAACTTTAGCTTCCAATCCCGTACTGTTTTCTTCTCATTAAATTGACGAAATTGAAATGTGTCCACTTCCCCATAAAGCAAAAAATCATACACCATTCCAGATATTTCTGCTCTAACGAATATTATAAATTACCATTTTCGAGATTTTTGATGTACTCTTTGCGGGTACCAGATCTCGTACCTTTATACGGCACCATCATTTCGTCCACACTGAACCAGTCTTCCTCTTCAGTATTTATTCAATTTTGGCGTTTTTTTTCTAACAGAGGTCTTAATTTGTAATTATGATCCCCATCGTTGCCTAAAGCGCCCACAAAATGCAAATTATGCCGGATCAGTTAAAATCTTTTCAGTATCATGATATCTGCCATTTTTCTGTATCTGAGACCAATAATCCGTATAAGCTGGAAAATGTACGACATCCATGAGAATATAAATAGCAATAAAATCATTTATTTCATCCCAAGACAAATTCATGGCCGTGCCCTTTATTTGCATATGATATAAATTACACAAATTACAATCACAAAGTTTGACATATTCTAACAATGATTTTGTGTCAGAACGTTCGTTAAATATTTTATCAGTGATTTCAGCAGTGTATCTTGCAGTTGTTCACTTAACTTCAAGTTTTTTTTTAACTACAGTCTTTTTGACTAGGTGAACTCTTTTGCTGGATCGAGTAGCATTTCATGGTGATGGTACGGGTAATATATGTGTAGAGCTATTAGCTATTGAAGAGATCGGTGCAGGTGTCGCTGGGACTATTACATTGTTTGGAGAAGCAGCAGCACTAGACGTGGACAAATTATTCAACAAACTCACGTGCCTCGTAATATCCTCCGCATTTTCGGCTGGGACTAATACCTCCCTGTAGTCGTCTTCATTTTGTAAGTTTTGTACCGGCCTAAAAAGTAAACAAACCATTCATACCTACATATACAGATAAATAAATACGATTTCCGTAACGTTTCGTACTTGGTAATGTGTCTGAAAATGCACACAGTCAAAAGTACTCTCTAGTGTTGTAAGTATGGCAATGTGTCCTATAGTGCACACTCCAAAAGTCAGGTCATAGTACCGGATCTTGGTGATGTGCATTTGTAGATACATGAACATTGACCGTAATATTTTAGATAGAAAATATCATTGTTCGATCAAAATCTTTTACATAACCAAAACAATATACAATCAATTACTGAATTATCACATATATATGTGTAGTAGCAACTATATTTTGATAGGATTTTAATCAATTATTACCTTATAACTCGTAGACGCATGTGCATACTCCACCGTTTTGCGATCTACTTACTTCAAATGTTGCCATACATAATAAATAATATTTTTATAGCCGAAAAGAAGGATTTCATAAACTAAATAGAATATAATTTTAGTCCCAGATTGCTAAAATATTTGCCAATAATTTTGTTTTAGAATATGTGCATTATTAGATACGGTATCAAGTTAAGGGTTAAAAGTAAAAGATTAAGTCGCGCTGCGATCCACCATTTGGTATACAATAAAAAATATTATTTCATTACCTACATGCAAACGGCTTCTTAATGAAAAGTACTTAAATAATTAAAAGAATAATAAAATTAAAATTAATATTTATAGAATGTCATTAATTTAGTCATATTTAATTAATTAATTGATGTCACTTAAATTGAAGAAATTCTTGAACTGAATAAAATGCATTGTCACTTAAAAAATTTAGTAAATTACTTTTAAAACAATCTAGTTCCTGGTGGCGTTGTATGTCCTTAGGCAATTTGTTGTAGAGCATTGGAGCCATAACAAAAAATCTCTGTCTAAACAGGGCTGTTCTATGATATATTTTTTTAGACGATCATTTCGCCGCTCACTAGAAAAATTGATAAAGAGGTCTTCGTGGTGTCTTACAAACATTACCGTTTCGTAAATGTATAGCGGCGATAGGTTAAAATTTTAAGTTCCTTGAAATGTGGCTTACAACTATTTTGTCGCATGATGTAACGCTTATTGTGAAACCTTAGCCTTAAGAGCGAAAACAGGACACCGTTTGGTGCGT